TGAATCCTGGCGCTCAAAAAGCCTCTTTCAGTGTAGCTTTACTGAAGGCAAAGACACTGCGCCTAACACTTTGAAAAGACTTGGATTAAGCTACAGCATTAATCCGGAGTAATGGCAAAACCGTTTGGTCATGAATCCTGCGTTTTAAGGCAGAAGTGATGACTCCTCAAGCACAGGGGCGAAACTGCGAACAAATTTCATGGTTTCTAAACTGAAAATGTAGTACAAATTATGAGTTTGTTATAAACGGTTAATCACCGGGATTAATTACGACATTTTATAGCCTTGCTCAAATTTTGTACCTTCAGCTTCAGAAACCAACAACTTCTTTTCAGCTTCGATCAGATTCACAGCAGCTGACGCTTCTTCTTTTTCAAAAACCTGTGCCAGTACTTCTTCACTGAGCCGTGATTCGTATTTGCTTTCTGCTACGGACTGTGATGAGTCAATCAGAGAAGTTGGAATCGCTGCCTTTTCCAGAAACGCGACTGTTTCTTCGCCTGTTCCACTTTTTTCCAGCGATACGTCCAGCACAGCTGTCAAAACTAAAGTAAAAGATGTATATGAGGTCGCTTGATACTTGTATATGCGCAATAGCTGTCTGATCCCATGGGCAAATTTTGTTTTGTCTAATATGTAGCAGAAAGTTTAAAGATTGTTCAAACAAACTAATAATGCACTGGTATAAAATCCGAGAGGAAAACCAATATCTGAAGCTAAATCATTCATAGATGACCTAACCTTGAAGGATTAGAAGTGGAATAAGCTTCTGAATTAATTCCGCTGTTAGAGCTTGAGGTACAGCCGACAAGAATAACTCAACAACCCTCTCTCATTTCTCTGGATTCGCATGCATGAACGTGCCGCCCCCACGCTTCTAGTAGCGTAGAAGAGGAGAAGCGTTTGTGGCTATTGCAAATATCGGTTTTCCTTACACGTTCATGATGGCTTCACTTCTGGCGTCCTTCTTGCTGTCAGGGATATGGTACGGATATCCATTTCTACGACATCAACGTAGAACCGACAGCAGCTATACTAGCATAGTTTGCAGTTCTCCTGTTTCCTTCCCACAAAGTGGTCAGAGTTGGCATTTGATTTATTAACCTCGGAAGAAAAAAGGCGAGGAATCTGAGGGGCCATAACTTGAGATCCCTTGGACTTTAATAACGCTACGACGACTGAACAACCCTGATCATCAGGGGCCCATAACACTAATCATGCAGGCCGCGAATGCACCTGATTAACTTTTTCTAGCAAATTGCCAATTTTCAATCCCGCCAGTAAGGATAACAATTTTCTATCACGTCCGCTGATTCGTAGGAGTAGCTACACCAACTCTTGCTTCTAGTAGCTTAGAGTAACGCTTAAGCAGTATGTGCAGTAGATTTGTGCGAAAGAGGAACTTAATGAATTTTAATTACGAAATCACTTATTAATTTAAAGCACTCGCCAATGCACTCAGGTATTAAAATACATTGAGCCACAGCCTGCACAAACGACTGACTAACTAGAAACAAAGGGACGGTGTGGCTATGCCATTCGAATACGGGATAAGCTTGTGAACTGATACAGTACTCTATATTTGGTCATTAATTTTTCAAAAATCATTGCCTTCAGCATCTTCAGCCAACTTTTCTGTTTCAGCAGAAACAAACTGCACATTGACCGATGTTTTTTGTTTTTCGGAAACAGGTACTGAAATTTCTTCATTCAGACTGGCCCCAGATTT